CAAACCCTATTTATTCAAGAATAAGAAAATTATTTTTTTTCAAACCAATTTAAATTACAACTCCCCCAACTCTTCAAGTGTTTAAATTTCTTCCTTGTCAATTTATCAAATCTTTAATTCTCCCTTTGAGTTGCTTTTTCTTTTCAATTTAGTCTAAAATCTCAACAATTCTTTCATTTGAGTGCGAAACCTACAAATAAAAATAAAATCATATAAATAACATATTTGTACTCAAAATATATTACAAAAATCACAAATTAGGGATATAATAAATAGGTAAAATATAAACATATCAATGATAGCATCCAATCTTCTTCGAGTCTCTACCGTAAAAGAAATTATGAAGGCAAAAGCTGAAGATGTAGAAAATACAGAAGAAAGAGTTTGTGATAACAATGATCAGGAAGATGAAGATGCTCAAATTGAACCAGAGGATGATGAAGATAATGATGAAAGAGAAGAAAAAGAAGAGGTGCCTCATGATGATTCAAGTGAAGAAGACCAGGAGATGGAGGGAAACCTCTAGAGAAAGCGGTATAGGCTGAGAAACAGTACTTAGAAAATACAAAAAGTCAAAGTTGCAAAAAAAAAAAAAAAGCAGCAACAGAAGAAAAGGGTGAAGAAAAACACCCGTGGAAAGAATAGCAAAAATTGATGTAGAGAATTAATGGTGGTTGAGAACCCAAAAGACAGATATTCTGTTGAGAGGTAAATTAAAAATGACACCTTTTTTTATTGCAATGAGCTTTTAAATTTGTGCAGATTCAGTTTTAGTTTGAATTTCTCCTCATCCTTTGTTTCAATACTAATCAAAGGTACAAAATTGCAACCCAAAACCTACTAGTGGTGATGAAAGCTAAAAGGGCAACAACAAGCCACCCGATTCTCATCCTGATCTAAGGGAGAAGGCAAGGAAAGATGATTGGGGACACAGAGCTTTTAGATCATCTTCCCAAGCACATGGCTGGTAAGCTTGCATCCCTAACAACAACTTTCTGTAAGATCTTGGTAATATGTGAAAGAGCAGGGTGCTTTATGTTTCTAGGAGAACAATGTTATTTGCGTCACTTGAGGCAAACTAAAACTCGCCGCTTGTGCTGTTGAACTCGTGATTATCTGGAACTATCTTATGTTGTTTGCATTTAGTTGCAAAGCCAAGTTGTGCCCACTTTATGTTGTGAACCAAATGATATATACATTATTGTTTTGTTGGAAGTGTCTGGAGTAAAATCATAGGTGTCGTAACTGGGTGTCATTTGCATGTGTTTAATGAATGCCAATTTTGAACTGTTATTTGAGGCGTTTTATGCTGATTTTCATGTTTTTTTTTTTTATACTTTGCTAATTTTCATGTTGTTAACCCTAAATCTCCATGTGGCTTGTGTTGTTGCAGAAAGTCTGCAAATGTTTCCACTCTCTGGGGGAGCTTGATTTTGTTATGGTGTCCATAATCTGGAAGATATCTTTGGCTGCAAAAATGGGTGCCGTTTCTATGTGTTGATTTCTTGATACATCATTGGTTCTTAATGTGGAGGAAGGTGGAGAAGGAAGATTCAGGAGGAGGCATAGTGCTGATGGTGCCAGACTGCCATTATAGTTTCTATATGAATTGATAACTTTTTCTTTTCTTTTTCTTATTTTTTTTAATTGATACCTTCTATCAATTTGTATCTCATGACTTTTAGAAATATGAAAATAATTACAGTTTCTCCGGTTTCAAATTTAAATTATGGTTTAAATTACCTTTTGATATATATATATATATATATATATAATTATTAGGGCACCCCGAAAATTTTCAAATAGCTCTATATATATTGAAACACTTTAATATGTATTAATAATATAACACTGTTTTAGGACACTTTAAAGTGTCCTAATAATGTTGTATTTATTGGGACACTTTTAAGTGTAGTGTCCCACATATTTTATGGTACACTCATCAAGTGTATCATTAAGGATTGATTTAATTGGACACTTCTAAGTGTCTTATACTCCTAAGTGTATTTATTGGGACACATACTTTATGGATTGATTATGTCCTATTGTGTAAGTGTCCTATAAACCTACTTATTAGTACATAAAAGAGTGTACTATTATCCCCTTTTGTTGTAGTGTCTGACACTACAACAGTTAATTTACGACACATAAACCTATGCCGGGGTTTACAACAGTTAATTTACAACAATTAACTTATACCCGGATTTACACAACTCATAAACTAATATCTACAACAGAAGATTAAAGAAACAAATCATTCTTAAAAAATCAAATTTCCTTCAATGGCTGCTTCTTTTTCCTCTGTTATAGAAAAAGATGAATTGATAAATGATGTCAGATTTTAAGTAGTTGATTTGAAGGCCCCGGTCTGAGAGATGAGCGAAATGGAAAAGATCTTTTAGATTGAGTGGTAGTGTTGTTTCACTTGATTTAAGGAAATTTTCTGACATTTGATTTTATCAACTCAATATTATTCTTTTAAGAGATTACTATATACCTATAATTAATGGATTTTTATGTAGCTATAATTAAGGGATTTATTTATTTATTTATTTCATCCTTTTTTTCTAGTTAGTTAAAGTGCCACATGTCAAAAATAATTTTATACTAAAAATAACTTTTAGCGGAAAAATTTTCGTTGTGGTGACGACACATGTCCTTTTTGTTTACTTCTTTAATTAAGTATTATTGATTACTATCTCCGATTTTATACGTAAAATACAAATTAAATAAATACAAAAATGTGGTTTGTAAATTGGGTCGAAGTGACTACCTATAAAAGTATCTTTTTTATTTGCAACTGGAAGAGATTGATCGTGAATAATTACTTTAAGCTTATCATGTGTATTGGTATACTATACTAATCAATATACATCCTATCAAAGTAGCTGTCAGACAGAGTTTGTCCTACAATATACATCCTATCAAAGTAGCTGTCAGACAGAGTTTGTCCTACGGTTCCTCAGTAGCTGAAGATACTTTTCAAGTTTTGATTTGTGAGAAATTCTTTTGCTCACCGGCTGCACAATTCTACTTGGTGTAGTTTGACATGTAAAAAGGGTAATCTTGTAATTTTATGAGTTGTATTCTTCTGTGCCTTTTTTTTTTTTTTTTTGTAATTTCTATTTGGTCCAGATTTTGTAAAGTCCAATGTTACTATTTCAAAGACTTGAAATTTTAAGGGAACGTACGCATTCCTTGATGACCCGATATGATTCTACCAAAAGATTCACCATTTTCATCATACTGAACAGAGATAAGCTCCGCCGACCCTTCCAGTTTGGGAAAAGAAACCAGCCTAAAGACATTTATCACAGCAATTTTGTTCTAATAGTTCTTTACCTCACGCAATGTGTTAGTTTTGATATTGAACTAAAAATAATTAAACTAAAAAATATAAGCAAATCTCTGTTTATCTTGTTAATATTTGACTTAGAATAATAGGGTTTGTGTTCCATTGTATTGTGATGTACAATCTACACGATATAATATAGAAAATAATAAGACCCTACACACAAGGCTATTATAGTAAATTTACAATAATTTGAAGATATGAATAATTTGTTGGAGAAGACATGGTTTCAAATTCAAATAATTGATTCTAATTGGTTCAGATTATATCTTATATGCTCTCATGTTAGTAAATCTTATATTATTATTCAAATAGTTTATTTTGAGTTCAGGAAACTGGTACTTTAAAGTAAATTTTTTAGACCTCCTATTAATCTAGAGTGATTATTCAATTGAGTCAAACGCTCAATCATTCTGAAATTCTCCACCTTTAATGATCAAAATCCAAAATACAAACCTTTGTTCATCTGGTCGATATATGAAGAGAGCTTTAAGTGCAAAAACTTATGTTTCAAGAGTGACCCGTGCATAAGCATCTGATGAGTACTTAACATTTACGTAGGGTGTTGTGCTTGGGGGTTATTTGGGTTTTGAACACCAATGGATTTTATCACATTTAAATAGGATCTACTAGCAAACAAAAAAAAAAAATAGTTTTCACTCATTTAAGTAGAATCCACTGATAAAAAACAAAAACATAGTATATATTATATAGAATTTCTTAGCGATTTTTACTTTGTTTTTGTGTCATTTTGTGTGGCTTTATTGAATGATCTACTCAATTCTCATCTTTGGTGATTTATTACCGTAGGACAAACAATGAATTGACAACCAAAGTGAAACCAACATTAGTCCAAAGTCAGTATTTAATTTCTAGATTTAACAACCCAAGGGTTTTTTGGCCCAGAGCTAGTAGATCATGTTTTAGATGAAGCAGTACAATATCTCATGCGGAACTTCATTTTCTAAATGATGATGATCTTTTTTATATTTATATTTTTTTAAAGCAAAAATAAAAATATATTTAAAAGTTGAAAAGGAAATTAAATAGGGCAGCGAGAATCCTATGTCGATTACAATTGTGGCCTTAAAGAAAAATTTGTATCCCTATTTAATCTAGCAGAGCGAGGAATTCGAACATTAGATTTGGCCCTGCTTTTTTTCTTGCGATTGTGGTGTGGTAGAGCAGCAACTTCATTGTAGAAAGACTTTTTCCATAGCCAATTCGATATCAAAATCTTCATCTTCTGAACCATTAGAGGCATGATTGTGTTCTCCTTCAGAATTGATGCATTCAATCGGAAAATATGAATTAGAAGAATCTGATTGCTTCCCGACCTCCGTATCGTCCTTGGACAAGTAATGGTTGTGAGTTTTTTTCGCAATTGGGACTGAATGAAATAGGGAGAAAAACCTCTAGAAGCGGGACTTGTGGTTGTGGTCGAGGAGAATAGGAAAATTCTGCAGCAGCTGGATTTAGATTTTGCGTGGTGTCGTTTGTAGAATTATTTTGAGAAAAAATTCCTTCAATGTTTGATGGAGAGGATTGCGGCAAATTGGAGTTTGACTTCGTCCTTTCCACATTTAAAGTTGAAAATTCCGGATAAGATTGTGAAAGATTACGATCGCGGAGTGTCGCAGATTGCGGATCAGATTTCAGTGTTGGGAGGTGGTTGCGGAATCGGAGGAGTTTCTCCCTCAGTTGTCAACGGTGACTCTTGCCGGCAATCCTTACTTTGAATTATTGCCGGTGATAAGGATTTTTCTCTATTGATGGCAACGGTTTGCGCTGCGATCGCTGATGAAGATTGATAGGAAACTGATTTGTCTCCCTCAATTATTGCAGCAGCAGCGGCGGCGATAGCTTCTTGATCCGACAACGCAACAACAGCGTCGGCAGCGATGGCTCGATGATCATGCAACAGAGTTATCGTATCATCAGCAGGGCAGTCCACTGATTGAATGGCCAATGGATTTCCTTCAGTTACCGGCGCCTGATGTAGCTTGTCCAAGGTCTGAGTTTGCTTCCCTTTTACTACCGGCGCCTGATGTGGCTTGTCCAAAGCCTGAATATTTGTTTGCTTCCCTTGTGGGCACTGTTTTTATTGTTGTTGTGAATGGTGCGAACCCATCTTTTGTGAAGATGATGCGAATGTGTTGTGACAGCATGAGTGAACATCATGCCCAATGTTTTTGCAATCAACACAATATTAGGGCATTTGTTTTTGAAAGTGGGTCAATCCTTCAACTCCGAATCTGATCAGAATAGGATGCTCCTTGAGAAGATCTAATTCTACACAAACACGTGCAATCAATGGTCATGACATATTGAGGGTTGGGACATCAATTTGAAAAGGAGTTCCAATGATGTTAGCTAGTTTCCACAAATATTCTTTGTTGAAGCGATGAATAGAGAGACCTTCTAAGGAGATCCACATTAGGACGATGGAGGTTTCGTGCGTTGGATTAAAGTCCGTGGTCCATTTTAGGACTCGCATCCAATTCGTATCAAAGGTCCATAAACCTTTTTGCCAGCAGCGATGAAAGTCTTCATCTAGGTCAAAGCAACTAAGGATATGTCGATGATCAATAGATCCAAGGGAGAAGCTTCCCTTGAAGCCATTAGTTTGGAATTCTCTGCGCAAGAAGTCCGTTTTTGGCCGGACTTTCGTGAATTTTCCTACAAGAGCAAGACGGAAGGGAGCAGCAAACCGATCATCCTCTTTTTTTGTAAGAACAAATGTTGGCTCGCCTTTAAAAATTGTTGGTTCAAAGTGTATCACGATCGGGTGTATATCTTGAGTTTTGGCGAGTGCTTAGTTTATTGTGAAGGGCCTACGGCCGGCGGCTGATCGCCGGCTATGGGGGGAGAGAGGAGAGAAGTCAGAGAATTGCCCACGTGAATAGCAACTCATACTGATGATTATTTTATTGTTTGGCAGCTAACTCTGATAGGTTTGTTTTCAATCTCTTTTACCTATGAGGTGATTAGAAATTCACAATCTGTTTATTCTGACATGAAATATGTTTGCCATAAATGTTTACCCTAAACCCAAAACCCTTAACCCCTAAACTTTCTTTATGTGGAGAATTTGCAATGCATTGATAATTGTATAATTTGTTAGAGAAAATATGATTTCAAATTCAAATAGTTTATTTGAAATATTTTATATCTATTCTGTAATTTTATTAATATTACCTTCAAATTCAAATAGTTGATTATTGATATTTAAGAAATTAATACTTTAAAGTAATACTTTTTTTTAATGACACTGAAAAACTATGACAAGTGTCATTAAATCTTTTTCAGTTGGGCCTTAAGGCTCATGAAACCCTCCTCTTTTAATACTAGTGATGTCTGGTCGCGCCATGCGCGACCCTGGCCCAGTCTATCTGTAGATCTTAGAAATGTTTATATTTGCAAAAAATAAAATTTTGTATTTGGAGCGATATATTTTAGAAATGTTTGAAGGATTTAGAAATGTTTTATAAGTGTGATCATAGAAATATTTGTATTTCGCAAAAAAAAAAAAATTGTATTTCGCCGTGTATGTTTTAGAAATATTTTATAAGTGTTACTTATTAAATATAAATAGCTTAATCGAATATATGCGTTGAAGTAAATGTTAGATAAAATATAAAAGCATCCTAATAAATTTAAATATTAGTAAGATGATTTATTGATGTTCTCCATTGGTCGTGCCAAATCAATACTTAGTTTTGGAGATTTTTAATAGCTTTGTAATAAGCTTCATCCGAAGGGTATACGCTTAAAACAAAATTGACACTTTGTAACAAAAAACCTAATTGATCAATTCAATTTAAAAAACCACTCTAGTTGAATGAAACATAAAGAAAAAATTAAAAAAAAAAAGACAATTTAGTATTTTTTACATGCCACGTGGCTATCATATGAGGTGTTTGAAAGGGAGGTTTTTGTTTCTAATATAGTAGGATATATATATATATATAGGAAAATAATTACGATCATGTAAAGAATTTAAGGGGGTTTATTTATTATTTTTTCTTCTAAAGTTTCTATCTTGTTTCCTGTTCTTTGGATTTCATGTTATTCAGTCCTCTATCTCTTGCTAGGAGAGGAGATTTTCAATAGGTGGACTTTGGTTACGCCACACATTGACCAACTGAAAAGGTTAAACCTAAACAAAAACAAAGATTGAATTGAAAACTTTCGGTGATTTACACATTTCTTTTTTTGAAGAAAATATACTTCTATTAAAGATCATCCAACACCAATTAAGAAAAAAAAAGGAGGAATACTCCATAATGTTTCACTTAGATCTGAATGTTTAGCAGACTTGGCAAAATCATGGGATATAATATTCTCCGATCGTCGAATCCATGACAAGCTCTTCACAGACAGATCACCATACGTATATGATATCATATAGTATCATTTGGAAGACAATAGTGAAGACAAGTAGCTGTAAAAGAGCAACATATGATAGAAAATATGGACAATTTTAAAAACATTATTGCTCAAGTTGCAAATAGTGAAGAACCAGATTTTATCTCGGCTCGTAAACAACGGAAAAAGTAAAATGCCAATGGGAATCCGAGAATACGAGGCTCGGACAAAAATAACTATTGTTAGTTATAGTCTTTTCTGATTTCTTTTAGTTGCTTCGTAAAATGTGGTAAGTTTTATGCACCGCCATTTTCTTTTATTTAATTCCAGATAAATAAAATGAGTCCTGCACCCGCCAGGCACTGCCTGTTTTGTCAAAAAAAAAAAAAGACAATGGGCAATCAACTTCCTTGTTTGTTGCCAAGATGATGCGGTGGGAATCTCCTTATGTGATGACTTCCAAAAGTTCCAAATTCCTACGAAAAAAAAAAAAAACAACAACAACAACAAAGCTTCTCAACGATCCAAAGCTTCTGCCAAGTTAAAATCTATCACACCCTGAATCTGCCGTGCCAAACCACGTATGAATTGACCAGTTAATTATCGAAAAAGAACCCCAGCCCCAACACAATTCTTCGTCAGAGGTATAGCACCATCAAAAGGAAATTGAATAGTGGTGCGAGTAGCATCATTTCATTCTGGATTTTCAAGGGAAGATGAGAAGTCAAAAAATCATGCAAAACAAAATTCAATCTCTTACGATTTACAATAAAGGATCAAGGCGCCTGACCATTGCTCTTAAATTGGACACTGGAGAAGTTGACCTTTGTTATATAAACCTGCAATTTTGAATGTTTCATATATCAAACGAGCAGCCAAAGAAAAAATTAGTGTGATTATGGAGTATTTAAAATTGTATTTTAAAGTTCGCTTTTAGCTCTTTTTTTATTTTGTAGTGTATGATCGAATTACGTTGCAAAACTCGCATCCCAAAAACTAATAAGTAATAGAGTAAAATCATACTTCTTAAGTTATGCTCTTATTTTCAGCATTGTGAATTGTAACTTTTTTAAAAAATAATTAAGGTAGAGTCTCCGGTTCAAAATGTTCAAAACTAACTTAATCAAATAGTAAGAGGATAATTCATGTAAATAGAAGAGGCTAAGTGGAAAAAAAAAATACTAAAGATGAATAATAAAAGTATATTAAAAGTTAAAGAAGGCGAAGAGTAGTCAGTGATCTGATTGTAAAACTAATAGGTGTACAGTTGGGTGATTTTGAGCAAATTATATATGTGCATATGTATATATATACATATATTCCCTATAAAATGAGTAAAAATGAGTAAAAAAATTGGTCATATATATTTTATTGGAAAAAAATATAGTTTACTCATTTTTACTCACTTTGTAGGGAATAAAAGATTAGTCAACTTGCATAATGATGTTTATAGTAAGTTCACACACATTTTATCAATTTTCAGATTATTTGAGTTCATTTTGTAAGTTAACCTCGGGACGTGGAGTACCAAAATTTAAAAGTTCAATAATAAGAACGATAAAAATTCAAGAGAGGAAGTGTTGTTTCCTTTTTTTTTTTTTTTTTTTGATAAATATTATATTACTATAAAACATTAGTCAAAACGTCGTTGTTATATAATATCCCCTCCATCCTTGAAATATAATTCACATTGTAAATTGAAAACTTTTTAATATTTAAGCTCAATCAAACACAAAAATTAAGTATCAATAAATTTTCAATAGCATCTCTATTTTTTTCCTAACTAAAAGCAGACTTTTATCTCTTTTAGTTATGAGAATATTTTTAATTATTTTTAATAAAATAATTAACACTTTTATGAAACTCGACTAATTGCGACCTATCTACCTTAGTAATTCTACCAATTACATATTTCTATTGAAATGAGTTAACTTTAAAAATATAGCTAGATAATTTTCTAATAAGAATGAATTGGTTAAGCTAGACTTGCAAAGTTTTCTATTTTTTTTGGACCTGATTGCAATCCTTTGTGTAAATAGCTCTATAGTTTTGCAAATAATTTCTAATCTTGACTTTAATTGTTTTTAGTTAGTTTTTAAATATGACTTTTGTCTTTAGAGGCTATTAAATTTTTAATTTGAAATCCATAATAGAAAGATTCAACACGAAAGAGTAGCTATTGCTCATTGGTACTATTTGGAAGAAGACACGTAGGATGGAAACCTGAGAGAGAATTGGTATCACACCAAGGTTTCTCGAAACACCATGAGATTTTTATTCAGGTGTTCTCAGATGGAGGACTAAATAAAAAAAAAGGATGGGAATTGGTGATGTTGTTGCTGTTACAAAAATTCTGAATACAACCCTGTCATCTGTATCTAGAAGTGAATCATGTCTGGCAAGATTCAAGATTATTTTATAGATATACTTGATGTGGATCACTTCATTAGTGTACTAAGAGATGACATTGATTTAGCTAAAGAGTTGCCCCATCAATGCGCAAGCATGGATCCATAAGGAGCAATACTCTAAAGTCATTCGAGCTACTAGCATTAAAACAACGCCAGCTCATGCTTCAATTCACTGGTATCTTGATACTGTCCTACCCATTTTGCAAACCATTGAGATTGGTGCAATATCTCCATTTTATCATCGGTTGGCTTTTGACAACAATCTAATGGAAATCTGACATTTGCACTGCAAAGTTATTGTTCCTCAAATCAAAGCTCTTGCAAATGCTATTGTCAGTCGCCTCACGTATTCTTCTACACTAGGGAGGGCGGTCACTGCTTCAAAAAGGTTACAAACTCTTGAGTCAAATCGGGAGGTGCGAAGTAGGTTATTGCACATCTTCTTTTTGACAAGGATATGGCTGCACATTAAGCCTATGATTTTGGTGGGGGGCAAGGCTAATAAACTAGCTACTAACATATACTTTAGCAAGAAGTGTCTTGAACTCCCGACTCACTGATGAGGAATTGAGAAGTCAAGGAAGGTGCCTGCTTACACCAGATTGGGCTCGTGCTTTCAGCTTTGGGTTTTGACAACAATACTAACAGAATAGTAATATTTACTTTTTTTCCCCCGTCTTCTATTTCTTAGTGGCTAATCTTTGTTTCTTGCCTATAATCTTCAATATCAACTCATTGTCACTTAGCTTTGAAGTTTTAACTACTGATTTTTAA